GCTCGGTTACTTATATTCTCAAAGCACCTATGACTTTTCTTCTACACCTTTTTTTTTCTCCTCCTAAACTGCGTCTGTATTTCCTTATAACTTTTCTATCCCATATGTGGTTCTTAAAATTTCAAGTTTGGAATGTTTTCTTACACAACGGCCTGTGATTTTCAGCATGATTTAAAACATATATATTGTGTGCTGAGATGGTGTTCTAAAAAAATTGCTTGAGGGGCTAGGGTTGTGGCTCAGTGATAACGCACTTGCTTGGCATGTGTGAGGCCCTGGGTTCAATTCTCAGCAAAAGAAAGAAAGAAAGAAAGAAAGAAAGAAAGAGAAAGAAAGAAAGAGAGTAAGTTCCATTAACAAGTAAAAATATATTTTAAAAACTATTACTTTATGATTAATGTTCTTCACCTTGATTTGCTTGTTGTATTCCCTGGAGAAATGGAATGAAAATCCAAGTGCTTACCAGTTCAGGACTCATCATTTCACATATAGAACTTTATTTAATCCCAAAAATATTTATTTGAGGTATTTTATTTCATTCAGTTTCTGAAAGGAAGATCCTGAGGTTGGGGTCCACAGTAACCTGTAACCTGGGTCAATCCCACCCTGTGACTTTTGCTACCCTACTTTTTGTAAGAACATTTTCGTTGTATGCATTTTTATGTGTGTGTATCATTGCTCTTATTGATAGACATCAATCTTTTCCAGAGAATAAATATGATTTCTATTTTATTTTTTTAAATGTTCTGGCTCTTATTTTGTGGCCTAAGATATCATCTATTCTGAAGAGTGTCTCCTGGGCCATGGAGAAGAATGTGAATTCTGTAGCTCTTGGACAAAGGGTTCTATAAATATCTGCAAGTGCCCTGGTTCTATGCCATGTTTTAATCTACAAGTTTCTGTGCTGGTTTTTTGCCTGAATGATCTATTCATTGATGAAAGTGTGCTATTGAAGTTCCTCATAAGCTAAGATATATTATTACTGTATTGGAGTACATCTCTCTCTCTCTCTCTCTCTCTCTCTCTCTATATATATATATATATATATATATATAATATTTGCTTTTTATATTTGGGTGGTGCTGTGTTGGCTGTCTTTTTATTTATGAATCATTGATCATTTGCTGAGTTGATTCTTCCATCATAATAGAATGACCTTCTTTGTCTCTTCTTACAGTTTTTGGCTTAATGACTCTTTTATCTGACATGAGTATAATTAGTCCTGTGTACCATCAGCTTCTACAGCTGTGGGATAGCTTTTCTTTTCCCTTCCTTTTCAATCTCTTGTGTCTTTTCGATGGATGAACCTAGAAGCACTTAACCACTGAGCCACATACCCAGCTCTTTTTATCTTAAGACAGGGTCTCCCTAAGTTGCTTAGAGCCTCACTAAGTTGATGAGGCTGGCTTTGAAACTGTAATCCTCCTGCCTCAGCCTCCCAGGTCCCTGGAATTACAGGTGTGTGCCAACATACCCAGCTCAATCTCTTGTGTCTTTACCAGTAAGATGAGATTCTTTGGTTTTGGAAGAGGGTTGTCCATCCAGCCGGTTTATATGTTTCTTTTTTATCCATTCAGCCAATCTATATTGTGTGTGTGTTGCTGTGGACTGAACCCAGGACCTTGAACATGTTAGAAAAGTGTCTACCACTGAGATACATCTCCAAACCCTATTTTTTTTTTGAGACAGGGCCTCACTAGACTGGCCTCAAATTTGCTAGCCTCCTGCCTAGCCTCCTGAGTAGCTGGAATTACTCATATGCACCACTATACCTGGATCAATCCATATCTTTTAAAGGAGGAATATAATTTATTTGCATTCATAGAAGTAGAAGACAAAAGCAAATGATCTTTTAATAGTCAGGGTTTTCTCTTCTCATCAGGAAGCTTGATTGTACTCTGCATTTTCATTACAAAGTTTCAGAGATGGTAATATAAAATTCCACTTTCTTTTTTTAATTCAAACACAAAATTTACATATTTATGGGTTAAAATATGATGTTTTGATACACACACACATATATATATCATGTAATGTCCAAATAAGGGTAAACATATCATACATTTATCACTATTTTGTAGTAAAATCCTTTCTTTGATGTTTTACTATTATTTGAAAAAAATCAATTTGTGTCTTTTTCTTCTGCAAATGTTTTGAATGAACTATGTAAATAAAGAAAAATTATCTTATTTGTGAAAAGAAGCTGAGGCAATTTTGTTTGTGCAATTCAGATTTTTTTTTGTCTCTAAAGAGATTCCTATTTTATTCTTCAAACTACTGTGGTTTGGGATTTGGGGCATTTTGATTTATGGGGTTTTTTTAGTTTTATTGATTTTATTTTTTTAAATACAGGACAGCAGAATACATTACAATTCTTATTACACATATAGAGCACAATTTTTCATATCTTTGTAAATAGAGTATGTTCACACCAATTCATGCCTTTATACATGTACTTTGTCTTTTTTTGCATTACAATTCTTATTACACATATATACCACAAATTTTTTTATATCTCTGTTTATATATAAAGTATGTTGACACCTAATTCGAGTCTTCATATATGTACTTTGGATAATGATGTTCATCACATTTCACTGCCCTTGCTAAACCCCTGCTCCCTCCCTTTATGTTTTATGACAGTATAGATAACAACTAATTCTAGATTTTTTCAAAGTGATATGTGTTGGTATATTATAAAGTCCTGATCTTTACACAGTCATTGTTAATTTTCTACTCCTTTCAAATATTCCACAACAAGTATCTAACCAAAGGGCCAGCCAGGGTTGCAGCCATCTCATGGCTCAACTGGAGAAGATCTGGTTTTGAGCCAACTTACCTGGTCACAAGGAGGATTTGGTTCCTTTCAGAATGATGGAAAGAGGCCTCTCTAGTTCCTTTCCACAGGAACACATGGGGAAGCTCAAAATATGGCAGGTGGCTTCGGTTGGTAGAAGTAAGTAGGTGACAGACCCAAAAGGGCCAGGCCAATTCCATTTTCAATTGGTCTCTAAGCACCCCCAAGATGGTGGAGATGTCCCTCTGCTTTCCAGTATGGCCCCCCTACCCATCAAGCCAGTAGCCTCTCAGTCCAATTTCCCCACAGAACACCTGGCAGATGGGCACACCTCCCTCTCCTCTATACCAGATCTTTCTATAGACTCACCAGGTGATTCCAACAAAACCAGCTTTGATTAGCAATGTAGCCTCTGGGTATCATTTGCCTATATAGGTATGTGAGAAGCAAAGCAATTTTTAAAGAAAACATGAATGAACTTTGAAAGGGGATATAACTTTTAAATATATATATTTATTGCTCAGAAATTACAGAGGATACCTGGATACACTGATTTAGTCATGATGTTTACAATGAAAAGGATTTCAAATACTCACACAAGTCCATTAAAGACAAAGCAAAGGGAGAAATTTTGAGATATGAAACATGGAGTGGAAGCCAAGTTATGAAGCTACAAAAGTAATGTGAACAAAAAGGTAGGCTTTCCAGGTCTAGATGATTGGTTTTTCCAACCCGAACTAAACAAATGAAGGAATTGACAATGAAACTAGATTACCGTGTTCTGCAGCCTCTGTAATACACTCTTAATGTTCCTATTCCTCAGTCTACAGTGAGGCGGTTCAGCATAGGGATGACAACAGTGTACACCAAAGAGAATACAGCTGTTGTTCTAGGGGAGTTTAATACAGCTGATTCAAGGCACTCCCCAATACTTGTTTTATAAAATAAGCAAACAACTGAGAGGTGAGACCCAGAGTTGTAGAAGACTCTGCCCTACAATCTGACAGAAACCCCCAAAGGAAGTACACAGTGACTAACAGGTCCCATCCTGGAGTGACAGGAAAGTGAAATGGATGTTTGGGTGGCAAAGGAGACAGCCTGGCAGGACTGTCCAGCCAGATATCCTGTGTCTCTTCTCAGCTCAATTCAAACATGGGTTAAGCTCAATCAACCTACACACCTAACACAAGTTACATAAAAATGGGCTATTTGTGTTCCCTAAAATAAAATATGGTGGCACTTATATCTTGTAGAAGACCTTACAGATGAATTCAAACAACCTACAAAGAACATGTAGCTCAGAGCCTGGACCTCGGGAGTCTCTCAATAAGGACTGGCAATATTATGGGTATTACCCTCATCTTCATCACCATCAACACCTTCGTGACCTTTTTGGAGTGCTTAGAAAATAGTCTAAAGGGGCATATTTCCTGCTATCCTGGGTGATAGTGTATGGGGAGTACACCCAGTATGGTGGGGAACCAAACTTGGAGATATGTCTGCCACCACATACATACATACCCATAGTCCTCATAAATGAAATGTGGCATATTATTATTCTCACATGTGGTACCTGAAATGCATGTCTGTCTGTTGGAGTCCCCTGGACCTGAGACCTCAAACTGAAGGATTGGAGGAACAGACTATTTATTGACAATCATGACCTTGGAGGTTCAATAGGCAGAACCTGTTCAGTCCATAAAATCCCAGTATATAGGGATTTACCAAGAGCAGGAGCAAGAGGAAGAAATGAATGTGCACAAATTTTCTCAGCTTTTCCTCTACAGAAGAGGAAACTCATCTATATTATTCACTCTATTCATTTCTTTGAAGGATCATTTACTTTCTATTTCCATTGTTATTACTATACAGCTTAAAGTTCAAAAAATTACATTTTCACAGTTGTCAAGTTGACAGTTCAGTGGTATTAATTACTTCCACATTGTTCTGCAATTATCACCATCATCCATCTCCAGAAATTTTTCATGTTCCCAAGCTGAATATTTGTATCCCTTTTAACCACTCCCATATCTCCCTCCCCAATGCTCAGATACCATTATGCCACCCTGAAACAAGATGAAAAATAAAAAGGCATTAAACTACACAAATTAGGTTACTAAGGAAACAAGATTGATCAGACTATGTGTTTAATTTTGCTGCATTTTTCAACATACACTACAGTTAGATGCCACAGATCCTGTGATCACACCAAGCTACTGCACAGCCTCCTCAGGGAGCATTTTAAGTCCTTATTCCATAAGCTGTAGATGAAGGGGTTCAGGATGGGTGTGACCACTGTGTACATCACTGAGGCCACTGCACCCTTTCTGGGAGAATATGATACTGCTGAGCCAAGGTACACTCCAAGGGAAGTTCCATAAAATACACAGACAACAGTCAGGTGAGACCCACAGGTGGAGAAGGCTTTGTACTTCCCACTGGAGGATGAGATCCTCAGAATAGAGAAAATAATTTTATAATAAGAGAAAAAGATCCCTGAGATGGGAATAAAACCAAATATGGCAAAAACAAAGCATTTGACCATGGTACTAGAGGAAGTTTCAGGACAGGTAAGATTAAGGAGTTGAGAAGGGTCACAGAAGAAATTGGAAATTTCTACATCCTTGAAGTAGGAAAAGTTTAAGACACTCAAGTTTTGCAGCTGGGAGTCAAAAAGGCTAATTAAAAGAGATAGCAAAACTAGGAAGCCACAGAGGTGAGAGTTCATAATAACTGAGTAGTTCAAAGGGTGGCAGATGGCCACAAAGCGGTCATAGGCCATCACAGTCAGAAGCAGATCATCCATGCATCCAAAAATGATAAAAACAGACATCTGTGTCAGGCAACCCACATAGGAGATGGTTCTGTTGTGAGTTAGGAGGTTCACAAGCATCTTTTGAACTGTGGTGGAGATGAAACCAATGTCAGCCAAGGACAGGTTGGAGAGGAAGAAGTACATGGGGGTGTGGAGGTGGGAATCAGAGCTGATGGCCAGGATGATGAGCAGGTTCCCCAGGATGGTGACCAGGTACATGGAAAGGAACAGTCCAAAGAGGATGGGCTGCAGGTCTGGGTCCTCTGAGAGGCTCAGGAGTTGGAATTCCGAGACACGTGTTAGATTTTGTGGCTCTATATTGCTAGGACACCTTTTGAAAAATAAGAAAGGATGGAAAGGATAGGAGAAATGAAATACATAAATGGGCACCTACATTCTATATACTTCAAATTCAAGTATTCATATCTAAAGTCGTCACATTTGAGGTCCACAGACCATCAGCACTACTTCTTGGTTGTGAAAAATACAATATTTGTAGGCTTTTTAATTATTGCTTTCTGTGTTATTTACCTATTTCAATCCACACCAACTTTCAAAATATTCAACTGACCTTGTTAGAAAATGAGAAGCACTAAAGAGAACATTCTAGGATCTCAATAAAATATAGCCAACTCCCTTAAGAAAAAAATAGTAAATAGCCTCTTTATCATAAAAAATTATTCTCAAAAAGGATATTAAGAAGCAGTGCAAACTGAGTGTGATGGTGCATGCCTGTAATCCCAGCAGCTCAGGAGGCTGAGGCAGGAGAATTGTGAGTTCAAAGCCAGCCTCAGCAATTTAGTGAGATCCTAAGCAATTCAGAGAGACTGTCTCAAAAAAAAATAGGATGTGGCTCAGTAATTGAGTGTCCCTAAGTTCAATTACTGGTACTTTCCCCCAAAAAGAAAATACAAACAGTATAGTATGCCTCATTTTGTCTGAAGTCCTTAATACAAAATCCTTTGACTTACAAGATTTAAAATACTGTGCAAGAACTGTATTATCTGATAAATAAACTGAGGTCAGTGGTTCACAATCAGAAAACATTGTGGGCTCCTTATCTTTTATGAGTTTCATTATTCTTTGACTGTCTCACTTCTGTCCTTCATGGATTTAACTTTGTCCTTTAAAAATCATGTTATATAAAACAAATACCCTTGTATTTGCTGGGCTTAAATTTTGATAAATCAACTTGATTGAATGTATATCATTAATGGTGTCACTGACAACAAATTTGACATTAGAACACAAATCACCTCTCAATTATTTTTTTTAAAAAGTAATTGATAATAAATGTCTTCAAAGAGTTTAACTTCAGGGCTGGGGCTATAGCTTAATGGTAGAGCCATTGCCTCACACTTGTGAGGCACTGGGTTCGATCCTCAGCATCACATAAAAATAAAGAAGAAAGAAAGAAAGATAGATAGATATTGTGTCCTTCTACAATTTAAAAAAATAAAGTTTAACTTTGTACAGGTTTGTCTGTAAAAATTTCAAACAGTATCAGTAAAAAAAAATAATAAAGGTATATAAAGTAGCCCTCTGCCCTTTTTCTTTTTCTTGATTCTTTACTCCATCCAGCTTGCTAGTGTTGCTTCATTATTTTTCTGATTGTAATCTTTCACATGCATAGAGTAGGAACCAAGGAAAGATCCAAAGCTCACAATTGCGTCCCCACCTTCTTAATTCTACTTAACAGACTTTCACATCAATCTCTCCTGATGCATGAATTGCAATCCCCTTCCTTCAGCTACATGAAGAAAACTTGGGTTCATTACATTGTCAGATCTAAGATTTAAATGGGAAAATGCAAAAGATAAGAGAACAGGAGGAAAGAAATCACAACAGGCTGAATCATCATCTGCAAAATTGGGGTAATAATTACCTACCTCCTATGGTTGTTGTAAGAGAGTTTTTAAAAATAATATCCTAAATAAAGTAACTAGTGATTCTTAGTATTGGTAATTAATATATTCACCTATGTATATTCCAATAATTTGATCTCAGGTTTATCAGCATCTGCAGTTGAAGATATTGCTGGTATTTTCTTATATCAAAAATACTTAGAATACTTCTTGGCACTTAAAATAGGATCCATGAATGTTAACTATTCTTATTGTCAATAATATTCACCACGTATATTAAAATATAAATATCTGATGATCTTGGCATCAGAACTAACATTTCATAGAAACCTTAATTCCTGCCTATGGTATTTTTGTTCTTGGTGTCTCTGCAGGATTCAATTCTCCTGCATACCTGTGCCCCAGACACAGCTACTCTCATGAATTTGGTGAGCATAATTTCCTTTCAGTGGTCCATGTCATTGTTGATTTATGTATCCTTTATAAATTTTCCTAAGAATCTTTGGAACTCACCTAAAGGTCATCTATGTAGTTTGTGACAAAATGCCTAGTGTTTCCAAGATGTGCTACTTTACACCAACAAGTGGTTGTAAGCCTATGTGAAGTACATACATCTTCTTGAATGTCTTCATCTGATGTACTGAAGGATGGACATCATTTAATTTTATATCTATTATTATGAGAATTCTTTCAAAATTCTTGGGCCTCTCTCCATTTCACACAAGTGAAAATTTCTCTACAGTATGTTGATAGGGTTATTGTTTGACTTCCACAATCATGCAAGTTCCATATTATTACTATGAATCACCTACATTTATGTTCCAATAAGAAAATAGGTTATTAAACTTGCATCTTCTTAGTATTAAAATATACCATCAAAATGGCCCTGCAGTCTGTATAGTAATATTATCTCCTTGATATCTCCCAATGAAATTTTATCCTGTATAGGAATAACATTTTCTGTTTTCTCCAGTAGAAGATGGTACCCTGGGATGGAAGTCAGGAAATCAACACTCTTAGTCTCTTACCATTGTCCTGCTGCTGTCTGCAGAATGTGTGTAAATCTCTCCCCTTCTCTGTACTCATACTGCTTAAATGGAAATAGGGAGAACAACACCCTTTTCTGCGACAGGTGTGGAACCTAACGGATGCCTGGAATTCAAAAAACACTTGGTCCTTGTGTTTCTATTAATAAATTAAGAATCCCACCATTATAGAAGAGTTGACATCATTGATGAATGCAACTGTGAAATGCCAACTTGAAAGGTTGTGAAACTGAAATGTGTCTCACTCCAAATAGCAAAGCAACCCTAACCCTTCAGCTTCACTCTCTTTTCCCAGTTTCCTACTCATGAAAATTTCTGCCATAATCATTTTAAAATTTGGATGAGGTAGATCATATTCCATGAAAAGAAAGAATCCATATGTCCATTACATGGATACAGCAAGATGTTATTTTAAATTTTCTCTACTTTTATGAGACCTTCCTGAAAAGTATAAAAGTACAGACAGGAGAGCCCCATAAGTGTAAAAAAAAATAACTTTAGATATTTTGTGAATGAAGGATTGGACAATTCAATGGCTAACAGATTTTTGATGCCTCCTCTGTACCAGGCAAAGCATAGCCCTGAGTAATCAGAATTGAGTCTTTTTTCCTCCAGATACACAACATATACTTGTAGAGGGACAAAAATAAAATGCCCCATCATGAAACTGAAAAATGACAACTTCAGGTCAAAGGATAAGTTAGTTGAATGGTATGAAAGTATCATTATAAATAAGAATAACTACAATTTGTCATTATAAATAATGATGTCTAAATTTCATTTTTCCCTTTTTTATACATTCCTCATGAATTAATTTTATAAAAAGCACCTATTTTCTGTTCAATCAATACTCAACATAGTTACATCAACTAAAATTCTATCAGATGACAATGCTTTGTCTCAGGACACAACTTACCTATGTCACAAGAGTAAGGAGGGATGATTTTAAAATGACAAACAACCCTGAAGGAGAATGTGGTCAGCTATTTGGAAACTCTGTAAGAGGGGGCAAGAGAGCAATCTGTGCTGAAGTACTGTGTTCCTGCACCTGCTGTAATCATTTCATGGGAGCCTAGCTATTCTTTATATAATGGATGCCGGCCACTGCTCTTCCCTGAGATCCACCAGAAACTCCCAAAAGGAAGAGGACAGTGAGCAAGAGGTCTCCTCCTAGAGTGACAGGAAGTGAAATGAATGACTGATGGGATTGCCAAGGGGACACCCTGCCAGGATTCTCCCAGTTTTGAAGCCCATGTCTGTAATCAAGCAGCCCATTTCACAGATTCATTCCTTTCTACCTAACAAATGAATACATTTTATATAAATGTAATACAATCTTTCATTTTCTGTAAAAAATAACTGTAAAGTGGACAAGTGAAAGGATGCCCTGTAATGAAACATGCCACAAGAGCACAATCTCAGTGCCCACCCTGGCTGGTGCCATCTGTTTTCATTTATCACTACCACAGTCATTTTGGAGTATTGTGGGGTAAAGTATAGAAGGGCTGGTTTTCTAGAATAGTGGGTGAGATTTCTATGGGAAGTAGAACCAGTGTGGGTGCAAAGCAGGTTTTGAATAAGATTTCTGATCCCCACACCATAACTATAAATGCAATCCTTCACAGTCCCCACAGCTGAAACTTGGCATATTACTGTCCTCCCATCTGCTACCAAACTGTCATTTCTGTCATTGTAATGAGGGATTCATAGTTCCAAGGTCTGTCCTTCTTCCAGGGGCTCTCTCTCCACTTACTGGGCCATGCTGCTTCTCTTGTGGGTAGTGACCGAAAAGTGCTGATCTGAAGAGCCTTCCATTCTGCTGCCCAGGGAAAGTCAGGGCTCTGTCCTCAGGATTTCCATGGACACAGTGTGCTGCAGGAGCTTCCTGGTGCAGGCAGTCATACAAGGAGAAAGAATCATGGAGCTCCCTGAACCAGAACCATCAAATCCAAGGGCTGCAGGCTCAAGCTATTTATTGACTCCTGTTTGACCTTGGAAGCTCAATATACAGAGCTCATCATTAGCCAAATTGGTCCATGGCCTCCCAATCTCTAAGAACTGCCTAACATTCACAGAGAAGGAAGAAGTGAAAATGAATATCCACAGACATTTTGGAGCCTCCCTTTACTTAGGAGATACTTGTAGGTCATACAATGTTCATGTCTATTTTTTTAAAAAAATTATCTACTTTTCTATGTTCATTTTTTATTTAGGTAAAACATACAAAACAACACACCTACCAGTTTAACCATATCCAGTGCATGCTTTGATGACATTAACTACCTTCACATTATTGTGCACAGAGCTCATAATTAGCCAACCTAATCCATGTTATCACAAACTCTAAGGACTTCACAATATGAATGGAGGAAGAGGAAAAGAAAACACAGATGTTTTTCACTCATCCTCTACTGAAGAGGAAACGTGTGCATAATTTCTGACTTTCATTTCTTTTGATATTCATTTGATTTTTATTCCTATTTTTCTTGCAAAATTTATATATATATATATATATATATATATATATATTATTGTCAAGTACATAGTTCAGTGGCATTAACTACGTTCATGTGGTCCTACAACCATCACCACCATCCATCTCCAGGATAATTTCCCAGACTGAAACTATATCCATTTAAAAGCCCCTCATTCCTCCAAACCCACAACAAATGCCTCTTACCCTGAGATGTGCTGGTTTACATCAATATGTAGATTTAACTCTGTCTTTAAAGTACATTTCTCTATACTAAATGCTTTAAGTGATGCACAGTATCTAAATTGATGGAGGGACATGATTTAAATTTTCAGTGTAGTATTACAACAACCCTTTAGAACTTCTAATGTCTCTCTCCATATCACACAAATGAAATTTCCATTTATATGTAAGTGGAGGATATTTATTTGACTTCCAATAATTGATGCATATTTAATTTTACTACTAAGAATATATTTGTTGTCCAAATTTTAAAAAAAAACAGCTTTATCAACTATTTCCTCTTATTATGAAGTTATACAATTGACATATCTCTGCACTCTTTAGTAATCATCCTTCCATGATAAATCACCAAGAAATTTCATCTTCAGCAATATTTCTATTTGGCTCCTGAAGACATAGCCCTTTGGGAAGTGAACATTTTACTCTCATACCATTGACCCACTGGAAGTGTTAAATCTCCCCACCACTCTGTGCTCATATGTTTAATGAAAATGGGGAGAGCACTGCCCATCTCTATACCAGGCATGGCACCCAATGTAAGTCTGGAACTTGATAAATATTGGATCATTTTGGTATTTTCAAATACAGAATCCCCAAAAGCACTGGAGTTTAGAGTTATGTGAATTCTAAAATGTGCCTTAGTCCTATTCATGAATACACCTTTATCTTTGGGCCACATTTTCATTATATGCCCATAAATATCTCTGCCATGATCTTTGAACAAATGAATTTTAGGGGCTATGAAGCAGAATTATAGAGCCCAGGTGTCCAGTTTAACTTACTTTAGTTCTATGGAAAAGGGATGGAAATGCAAATTCAAGGCACCAAGTTTTTTGAAGATGCAGTGATTATGGTCAATGCCATGTGAAGAAATAGTGCTTCTGACGTCTCCATCATCCCCTTCAGCATTGACTCAGTTCCATTGCATTTCTCCTGGTTCATGATCAAGGACTGCAGATCTGAAGTCCCTCCCCTGCCAAGTTCCAATGTCAGCTCAGGCAATGTTCACAATTGATATGCGTGTAAATTGAGACAGGATCTTCCTCATGGGAGAAGAAATAGGTATGAAGTCCACAGAATTAGAACCATCCAACTGAAATTTGGAGGCACAGGCTGATTATTTACTGATACATAACTGCATACTCAATGAACAGAATTCAAAACTATGCAAATTGGAACAAGCCAGTCTAATTTTTAAGGACTTCCTAACATTAGTAGAGAAAGAAAAAGAAAAATGAACATCCACAAAAGGTTTTGGAGTTTTTCTCTACTTGGGAGCACACTGGTGCCTAATAGTCACTGGTTTTCTTCCTTTTTAAAAAAATTTAAGATCCATTATGTTCACATTTGCAATTGTGGCAAAATATACACATGAAAATTACAATTTTGACCATTCACAGTGACATCAATTACACTCATATTATTCTAAAAATATCACCATGCAATGTCACCAGAACTCTTTTTAAAATCAGGCGAGGCAGGCAGCGACCAAAGGAGGCAGATTTAAAAAGGCCACGGAAGAGGCTTTATTTGAGACTCATTCCCGGGTGGAACTTGATTAGACCCACAGAGGGGACAGGAGAAGGATCTGAGGAGAAACCACGTGGAAGCTAGACTGGACTGGACTTTTATGGGGCTTACAGCAGGAAGGGAAGGGCTTGGGACAGGAAAAGGTGTTTTTTAGGGTCCCTTGTCCCATTGGAGTTGGTCAGGGGAGTTGGATGAACTCCAGGATTGTCCAGGGGGTCCTGCTGATTGACAGGCATTAGTCCAGAGATCCCACTGATTGACAGGCATTACTGTGGGCACCTGACTGATGTTTCTTTCCTGTGCGGCTGCTTTGTTCTAAGTACCACCACTGACCCAACACCCTTCATCTTCCCAAACTGACACTTCATAAGCATTTTCAAAACTCCTCATCAACAATATACCCCAACACTGATGACCACCATTCCAGTATGAAACATAAAAAATTAAATATATTACAAAACATAATCTGACCCAAAAAGCAGGATTTATAGGTCTAGATGTTATGTATTTGCTTTGCCAAACTACATGTCAAATGGATTTCAGTGACCATGAGGTTAGAATATGCTATTACAAAGCCTTTTCAGGGTGTTATTAATATCTCTGTTCCTCAGACTGTAGATAAAGGGGTTGAGCATGGGAGTGACAGCTGTGTACATCACTGAGGCCACTGCACCCTTTATAGAAGAATGAGACACAGCAGTGCCCAGGTACATTCCAAGGCCTGTTCCATAAAATAAGAAAACAATGGATAGGTGAGACCCACAGGTGGAGAAAGCTTTATATTTCCCACCCAGAGATGGGAAGTTCAAAATAGAGGAAACAATTTTATAGTATAAGAAAAAGATCCCTGAGATGGGAACAAAGCCAAATATGGCACCAACGAAGTACATGACTATGTTATTTGTGGAGGTGACAGAACAGGAAAGACTGAGGACCTGAGAGGGATCACAGTAAAAATTTGCAATTTCCACACCATTCAAGCAGGTAATCTGTAATGCAATCAAATTGTGCAGTTGGGATTCAAAGAGGCTAATCAGAAAAGACACCAAAATTAGAAAGCCACAGAGGCAAGGACTCATGATGACTGAGTAGTGCAAGGGGTGACAGATGGCCACAAAGAGGTCATAGGCCATCAGAGTCTGAAGCATGTCATCCATACAGACAAAAATGGCAAAAAGGGACATCTGCATCAGGCAGCCCATGTAGGAGATGGCTCTGCTGTGAGTTTGGATGTTCACCAGCATCTTTGGGACCGTGGTGGAGATGAAACCAATGTCAGCCAAGGACAGGTTGGAGAGGAAGAAGTACATGGGGGTGTGGAGGTGGGGGTCAGAGCTGACAACCAGGATGATGAGCAGGTTCCCAAGCACTGTGACCAGGTACATGGAGGGGAATAGTCCAAAGAGGACAGACTGCAGGTCTGGATCATTTGAGAGTCCCATGAGCTGGAATTCTGAGACACATGTTAGATTGTGTTGCTCTTTATTGGTCAGATACCTTTGAAATGGAAAGAAAGTAGGAGAAAAAGGAAATAAAGTATCAGGCTCCATTACTGTGTATATTTTTAATTCAAACATTTATGATTGAATTTTTCAGACTTGATTCATCAATATCTAACATTTGTGAGAAACCTAATCTTCTTGCAACATTTATTATTGATTTCTGTATTGTTCAATTCCTTCTGTATACATGTACTTATTTTCTAAGTACCAAGAGATACCCAGGGCCTCTTCAATGCTAGGCAATTGCTCTAACCTGAAGTGTGCCCAGCACTTTGTTTTATTGTAAAACAGGGTATCACTAAGATACTCAGGCTGATCTCCAAGTTTCTATCCTCCTGCCTCAGCGGAGATGGGAAATCACAAGATTGTTCCAGTGCACCCTGCCAACCCACCTACTTCAGAGACATTCAAGTGAACAATATTAGAAGACCAGGACACAAGACATAACAAGACTACAAGCACAGCAACATGCAGCCTCTTCTCTAGAAAGAAAAAGCATAAGAAATATTTTTCTGTCTTTCAAGAAGAAAAAAATATTTTAATTAAAGGGAAGTAAAAAGCACATATCTTATTATATTCTAAGATAGTGGTGCAATTTCCTTTGATGCAGAATATAGTAGAATATGCATATATTACAACAAAACCAGGGAGCTGCATAATCTAACAACTAAATTAAGTTGTTTCTTCACAACCAGGACAGATTCTTATGGGTTAATTTTCTCCAAGGGTCCTAACCTGCATGATTTCCCACCTTCATGGGTGGAAGTATTCAGTCATGCATTGTTTATCTTTTAAAAGTCATCCAATATATTACTTCTATTCTTGGCTTAGAAAGAGTCAAATTTAAATAAATATGATTTATTTAACTGCACATTATCACTTACATCATGGACTAGATACCTGGTATAGGTGTACACCACACTTGTCAATAATAATGGTGATATGTTAGAAGTACTTTGGAAAAGTAATACTGAATAAGAAGAGTGATGCTGGAGGCATCACAATTCAAGACCTCAAATTAAACTACAGATCTGTAGTAACAAAAACAGCATGTTATTAGCATCAAA